CGTGTGCCTTGGTCAGTCTCTACATTTTCTGTGCATGTGCGCAGTTGCATTCCTTAGTATTGAGTAATATGCTATTGCGTTAATAATGTCTTCAATCCATTCTAAAGGAATATACATGTGTTCTCTAGTTTTTGCAACAGTTAATATTTTTGCATGAACTTGGTGCATGGCATCATCTCCTTTGTCCCTCAGTGCAGGGCTTTCCATTGTTCATTTTTGTGATGTAACCACTCCTCCTCTGTTGCACTTAGTTGGACTCCTCCTTTCAAACTGTGTTCACTCTGTCACCATGTGTAAGCCTTATAATCGGCTCAGTCTTATATTTGGTAAAAGGGGCAGAAATAGATAGGGTTAGGTTGTGTTGAGGAAAAATGCTTGTCATCTTGAAAGACTAACCGTCGGAGGCACTAAAAGCCTTCCCGCAATAGTTCCATCGAACTTCAAAGTGCTCCATCTTAGTGTGTTTTCATCCGACCCCCCCTCCCCGAGCTCAACCCTGACATCAGCAGCAGCTCCATAAATGGCTCCTGCTTCAGAAAGCAACTCAAGCATACCTTAATTATAAGCCCTTGAAGAGCAAACCGTGCATAAGGGGTTATACAATTACACTACTGTGTAATCTCTTTTGACATCTAAACTTTTTAAAAAACACAACAAAATGAAAAATAAAATCTGATGCAGGGATATTTGTAAAAATATCCAAAACCTATTTTAGGTTTCTCTCTTTAAATCTCTTCTATTCCATGGTTTCTATGAATGTTTGCAATGAATATTGATGATCAACAGCAGTTACTGAGTTGAAACAACAGAGTTAATACCCTACCCTCTACTAGTGTACACAGCCACAAAGATGACTACTTTATAACAAGACTTATAATATACCATGAATTTACATTCATCATCTCTGGCTGTGAAGCCGTACTAAAACAAACACATTTTGATTGGTGGTTATTGCAACATTTTTGTGACGGACATTTTTTCCACAAGAAAGCATTCAATGTCTAACATAATGTTTGAAATAAATGCATGTAGATAACAGATATCATGTGAGATGGCACGCGTATTGAGGTAAATCAACTTTAAAAAATATATGTGAATTAGAGTTATAATCTCAGAGCTTTTGCTCTTTGTCCATTTGTAATATTACGTCCTGCAATATTATCACAACTTTCGAAGTGTCCCAATATCAAGGACTGAATGTGTGACATTAAAATCACACACACACACGACACACTCACACACACAAACAATAGGATTTCTTTCAAGGTGCATATGAATGTAAATAAGATTTGAAAGCTAGTACTAAACATACATTTCATAGTGAAAAAACCGACACTGGGCACTTTGCAGATGGGTCAGCTGGTACGAGGCCATACCAATATGTGCCCAGTGTTAGTCAGTTTATTATAATGTTGCAAGGTGATGAAATGTAGAATACTAATGTACTGACATCATTCTGCATGGAGTGAGGAGTAGCATAAAGCTGTGATTAAAAGATTGTAAGCCTGAGCTTTGGAAGAACATGATCTGCGATCGTAAAATCCTCTCTGTCACTCAAACACATGCACACAAACAATCCTTTCCTTTCATAAGCAGTTATTGCTTCTTCTGATGTACAGTTAAGACAGTAAATCATGACAAAAAAAGACATAACACCAAAGAAAGGAGTGAAGCGAGAGACATGCTTTGGGAGGGGTCAGGCTCACAGTTGCGGGTCAGTATTACAGTTTCTCATCACAGTGATTGGCGACTGACTGTCTTTGCTACTTTCCAAACAAGGAGACAAACATGAAAGCTCAACACGTCCTCGACCCTCGATCCAACACTTTCCTTTCTCCAGCTAACTCTGTTTCCCAGTCAAACCAGTGTGCTACATTATTACCAGCATTTCAGTGACTTTACTCTCATCAAGGGACATCTACTGGTGGGGGTGAGATGGTCTATAAGTGCACCTTATGTGTGGTGGTGTCAAATACTGCATGATGAGGTCAAACACGCACTGCTACGAGCTGAATGTGAGATCCTGCCCCCTGCTGGAGGAGGACAGGACTGCTACATCTACTCTGAGAGGCTGACTGGAGGGGGGAGAGGTAGGGCTTTAAGGGCAAGATTTAGGGTAAGGGTATTGTGGTTTTGGTTCAGATAGACACCTGATTAACAGAAACCTCACATTTACGGCACACTGGGGACAAGAAAAGGCGGAGGAGTGGGATAGTAGGTTAATCTGTCCCTCATCATAAATCTCTTTTTCACCTTCTCCACAAGGCAAACCACTCTGAGGGAAGGTTAGGGAGGCAGGTTCACTGCAGAAACCAGCCTCCCAAAGCTCGAAAACCCCACAGTACAGTTAACTGACCTACAGTATGTCTTCCCTCTACAGTTTGACATGTCAAAAGCAAAAGGGTTGAAGCACATGAAAAGCACAAAGACAACCTGACACACAAAAATGCAACGTTTAAAAACAGGCATAGCGACACGACATTTGCTTGTTCTTGTACCCACAAAGATCTCAGGATATATAGAATAATATATAGGTTCAGACCGACGGAACAAACCAAACAAGAAAAACGGGGAATAATTTCTTATGTACCTGAAACAGCAGCATCAGTGGCATCGCATAAGGATCTTAAAACATAAACAACACACGTAACACACAGTCACGTAGAGCATTTTAGTGCATACGATATTATGTACAACACTGATATCCTTGGGTGATAATTGTAGCTTTACTGGACTTTGAGAGCACTGGGACAGGTTTAAAACTAGTTTGGGGGCTCTTAGCTGGAAGAGTGTGGCAGAGAGGAGGTGGAGTAACCTGTTGCCTAGAGATTATGTATTTCTCAGTATTTTAGTTTCCCCTTTTCTTAAGTTTGACTGATGAAGTTTTCACCCGTTGGTTTAAAAACGGGCCAGTTATTGACCATACCCAACATTGCATGCCTGTCCCATACAGCAGTGTGTCCTCCCCATCCCTCCCCACCCCTATATTCCCTCAGTATTTGTAGTTAAAGACAGGCCATGCAGCAGCAGTCACTCATGCTGATACAGATAACAGGAAGCACATTTTGGTTGCTAGTATTTTTTTTTTTGTGTTTGGTTTTTGTTTTATACGAAATCATGCTTCTAGCCTAGTAGTAGATGTATTTTTTTCCCACAGTTTCTTTAAAAAAAAAAAGGTAATAAAAACTACGAGTAATTCTGTATCCTTCTCTTCCAGTGCGTGCTGATAGTCGGCAAAGCCGCTATGGTTGTGGCGTTGCCGTTCATTTCTGTCTGTTTGCCTTTTAATGTGTGTTCTTCCTCCTGTCAGCTGCTGCTGGTCATGTGTCCATGTAGGATGGTTTTGGTGAAGTGGTTGAATCCTGTGGAGAACTCTGTGGAGACAAGGAAACACGTTGATTTAGATACAACCAGGAATCTACGGAGCAGACATGCAGGTTGCAGTAAGTCAATGCAAAAGTGAGTATACGCAGTCTTTCAATTTGCCTTGGCTAAACTGTCCATATTGGAAATTCCCAACAGTTAAAGCTGAACTGAATTCCTCTCTAATTCTGATCAATGTTATACTTCATAAAACAGCACATTGTTTCTGCAGAAGCATTAAAGCAAAAATGGTTGGCAGAAGTGGTTTAACATTCAGTAGGGAGTCACTTGACGTATCAGTAATATCAGGAATGTCATGGCCTTTATGTTAGAAAGGGCAAGTCACAGATGCACACGCATACACACACACACACACACTCACAAATACACTCACGCGCACACACACTGCAGTGGCTCCAGATAGCAACTGGCTTTGCAGCTTTGACCTTGGAGCTGACACATTACAAGTACCTTTTTGGTTGCTTGTTTTGCTGAGTGCTCACTGTGCCAACCCTTTTTCCAGCTTGTTACAGCATGCATGAAGAAATAAACTGGCCTGACATTATTTATAGCTGAACAATGATGCTCTACTTGCGTCAAACTTGCGTCGTTTGTCTGTATGGCATTATATTGAGTGCACATAAACTAGTTTTTACAAATACATAAATGACACATTTTAGAGAAATTGTTATTACACAAAGAACAATTTATTTTAAGCAAACCAAAATCAATGATGTGCCCAATGCGATTTTAATCACCAATATAACTCCATACATTTAAAGTAAAGCATTTTGCCAAAGGCGAGCAGCCTCAACTTCTATTGTTTAGGTTGTAAAAACGGGGAGGTAGGTATTGCAAAAATAAAATGAATAAGGAATAAAGTATCACTTCTGCATTAATGCTGACAATTTATAACACAATAAATTACTTTTAAGATATATTTAAAAATCGTTTTCATGGAAATTCCCCATTTTCTGAGACTTTAATTGAGTTGTTCAACTGATCCGACAGTCTTCAATCCTTATTCTTTTTCTGTGTTAAAAATAATTTTTTACCCTTTGTTAAACTGAACATTTATTTTGCTGTGCCAGAATCACGTTACAAGTCATTAGTATTGAATTAAAAAAGGTACATTCAGATACATTTAACCCAGAGAGACTGGATTAAATGGTCTAGCCCACAGGTCAGACGAGGCGCTGTGGGTCAGTCCCGTACCTGCAGGGACGCAGCACTCACTCTGCCTCATTGCTTAACTCTCCGCAGACTGGCACATTTCACTATCTGAGCACCTTTCTTCACATCCACAGAATCGGGCTACATCAGGGGGGAAGGGGTTGGCAGCAGAAGAGGTGCAAGGGTTGAGAAGAGGTGGGATGAAGGGAGCCCGAACAACAGGTTGAGGGAACATTAGTAAGGGAGAGTGAAATAAAGGAGACATGACAGATGAGGAAAGGAAACAGAAATGGAACAACAGGGGAAAGAAGCAGTCCCACAAGAAAAGAGAGGACAGGAAATGAACAGGAAAAACAGATGTAATAGAAATGTGAGAAACAAATACGTGAAGGAAGGGGACAGAGGGGGGAAAAAAAGAAATTATGTATAAACAATCGAGCAAGGACAAAGTGATTGGGTGGCAGTTGGAAAGACAGTTGAAGATAAGAGCCCATCAGATAGTCTTTGGGTTTCAGAGAAGACCTGCATCAAATAGTATTTACAAACATATTTTTACAATTAATTTTTCATATTCAGATGGGTGGGATTTGACAACAAAGGACCCTAATATTCTGAATTGATTTCATGTGTTTAATCATCTGCCACATTTTGCAGGTAACGTTGAAAAAAATGTGTAAATAATATTTGACCCAGCTCTGACACAGAGAGTCTTGCATGTTTGAGTGATACAGCACACAGTCACAGTTGAAGGACTATAAACTTTAATGAAGGCAGAAAAGACAAGTGTCAGTCATTGAGATAACTGATGGGGACAAAATTGAAAATATAGCCACTGCATGGAGCCACAATCAATTCACTCAGTCATTAATGTATATGAAACAAACAATGATAAGTGTAGGTGCGGCTTAGTGATGACTAAAGTGATGAAAGTCTGAATGGACCGGTAAACTGTTAGCAAAAACAGCACCAGAGCAAAGGGAACTCATTTGTTCCTCCTGCATGCAGAAGATGAACATGAGGTAATCATGTTTAGGTGAAGACTAATGTAACAGAAGGTCAGCAGTCAAACAAATAACCAAACAAACTTAGCATTCAATCCTCACTCGTGATTTAGGACTTAATAATATCAAAGGACACAAACTGTTCTCAGCCTGTTGTGTTGAAGCTCATGCAGGTTATTCAAAGACTGTCGGGAAATGCCTGGGATACCACGATGAGACTTTCAAGCTTACTTCAGAGCCCAATAAACTAGCTGTACATTAAATCAGACAGGCCCTCATCAGATGGTCGGCTGCCTGCCGATCAGAAGCCCACCTTGCTGCTGTCCCGGCCCAGGATGGCGTAGCTCATGAACTGCTCTGCATCAAGCTCCAGCTCGTTGTCGTCCTGCAGAGAACCATCCTCCTGAACCCCCTCCTCAACTGAACCCTTCCCTCTGCGCACAACCTTACGCACAATCTATCAGATACACACATGTACACAAGGGGGTGGGAGAGAGTGATGGATGGAGGCAGAGAGTGGGAATAAGGCAGTGAAAAGACAGAGTTGGTGAAATATAAAAGAAATGGAGGAAATGTCTATATTTGTGGATACAAACAGTGTAATAGAGTGATACTTTTTATGATGAACCAAACATCCACATAAGTGATTATCAGCTTAATAATCAATTATGTGGAGAGGTGTTGAGTGAGTATTGTGACACTGACAAAGTAGAAAACAATTTGAGAAAACAGTGTACAAATATGTTGCAATGGCTGACCTTTTTTGTGACAATGTTTCCATGTTCATCTGTGAACTGTTCCTCGCTTACATGCTCCCCAGGAAGATCTTCAACCTCATCGCCCTGCGGTAATACACATATTTGCATCCTTAAATTATGTTTTTAAATAAATTGCACTTCCAACATTAAGGTGCAACTGCTACAATATATGACTATCCACAGTACAAAGGAAACTCAGGAGGATTTTATGGCCCTGATGCAAGTTAATATAGAGGCTGTGTCATTGCAGTGTAATAACATGCATGCCATAAACTCCTCCACTAACTGGAAACATGACACAGGGGTGAGGGGTTAGAGGGGTTGTTTGTAGAAGCATGTAAATCAGACAGTTGGGATCTGTGGTGTTTCTTAGCGACATTAATAATTACAGATGATAAGGATCATGTCAATGCTGTTATAGCCCCTACTAATTTGCAGCGTGTCTACAGAGCTATATATAAGCTTAAAGGCATTCCTACAGCCAGAGGAGGACAAAGGCCAGTCCGGCCTGTGAAGACCAGAATAAAACATGTCAACAGAGATACTTTAGGAAGTGTCCAAACGTGTTGAGGCCAGCATAATCTATATACATATGTAACAGCAGAAAATACCTTTAGCAACATTTGCATAACAAATTGTTGTTAGTCAAAGTGAAACAAATGAATAGAAGGTGAATTATTATTATTATGTATTCCTTCAATTCCCTTTTCCTTATTGCCATATACAATTATTCCTCATGTACAGAATGTCCTCAGTTAATCCTCACTGCAGCTTTTGTTACACCCACTCCACTCCAGTGCAGTAAAGCCTGTACAACCATTTACCCAATTACCATGAACCTATCCTGTATCACTGCAAATACACTGCTGCCTTAAGCCTTTCACCAAAACACCATCTCTCCCCTGTTTCCTGCATGTACATTTCCTCAAATTGGGCTCCAAAGGTCCTCTAGCCCTCGCCCTGTACCTTGAGGATGACTCTGCGGCGGACCACTCTGGTGGTGACGTTCTCCTCTTCATCGGCCACTCCCTCGCCCTCCCCGAGCTCGCTGTCCAGCTGAGCATGTATGTAGGTGAGCACAGACCGCACGGAGCCGCTGGCTATGTGGAGGACATTCTGACAGCTGATGACCAGGAAGGCCAGTAGCACGAAGCTGAAGAGGAGCTCTGTCACCAGGGCCCACATCGCCTCGCTCTGATCCCCGGCAAATCAACACAGAACCACCCACGATAATACAGGCCCTCAGTGAGTCCCGTTTCCAATGCAGCTCAGCTGGCGCAAAAGGCAACAGCTGCAGCGTGCGGCCTTCTATCACGGGTTCAGTTAAAGATGGATTGTTTGTAGTTCATGTCCTTCCTCCATTAGTTGTGGCAGTGGGCATTTCCCTTGGGGATCTATTCCTTTTCCTTCCCCCAGGCAGGCCAGGAGTATCCACTCAATGACATCAAATCCAAGCAAACACAACTTTGGGAGTCTTCTATTCCCACCTCTCTCTCTTTCTGACCATGTGATCTGTGGGCTTTAAATACCTCTGGCTTCTCCGCTCTGCTCTGTTTGCTGTGGTAAGAGCACTGAGAAACTTGTCCCCTGACTTCTTCAGGTACTTTAACTACAAACTATTTCTAATCCTTAAACCTCAGTAGTTTCTCAAAAAAACACCACTCTGCAGATACAATTGTGCAACGCACTGCCTCTATACTCAACTAAGCCAAACTAAAGACTTTTTTTCACCAGAATGAACAACAAATGCCCTAAAGGGAACTTTTCATTGCTGCTCTTGTACAGTTTTACAGCTGATTTTGTCAGTGTTGAGTGCCAGAGTAAGTTAGCACGTGGAAATGTTTGGGGTGGGGGGGGATCATGTAACATGAGTGGGACAGTGAGAATGTTTGCTATATTTGGCCCGACTGTTTGTGCCCATCTTAGGCCCTAGACTGTGTGTGCGCGTGTGTGCGCGTGTGTGTGAATGTTCGATGTTTTTTTCCAGGATTTATCATTAATCTAATCTAAATCTGATTTGTTTAATGTTGAAATAAGTTTATAGACATTGCATTACAGCAGTTCAAGTCTCATGTGTCGCTCTCTCCAAAGTGAAAAATCGTATAACATTTCACATTACACAGTGACATGCCTCTTATTTGGTATGGGAGGAACGACACACTCACCTGGCCCTTCAGGCGCACGTCATCCCAGGCCCTCAGCTCTGGTACCCTGTGCGGGAAGCCCAAACCCTTCTCAAATGGCTGGGTACCTCTGAAGTGCCCTCGTAAGATCTCCGAGTGCCCCATGTCCCTCACCGGCTGAAGTAAGGCCTCCTGGGACATGTGGGACGGGTCTCCACCCACAGCGTTACATACTGACGATATCATGCCTTCCATGGCCTGCCTGGGTTTAGGTTGCGTGCCCACCCAGGCCTGTGTAGGGTCAGTGACAGGGATCCACCCCGGGCCTGACTGTTCCTGCAGGTAGGAAAGGAAAGAGCCTCCACCACCTCCGTTTCCACCATTACCTGACCTGGAAGGGGAGAGTGGATCAATGTGGAGATGGTACATGTCATTAGTATGCTTACGTTAAACAACTATTAATAACCCCTTAGCGGTCACCTCCTTTGTAAGAAAGAAAAATCTGTTCACCACTAACTCACCTGTCTCCATTCCGGTCTGCAACACAGCTCAGACCAGGTGACTCACTCAGCCGAGCATACACCCTTTGCTGTCCTGCAACAAGAGAAAGCCCTTCCTCTGAGCCCGTCCCTCCTCCTCCTCTTCCTCCTCCTCCTCTTCTTCCAGCTCCATCTCCGCCAGCCGTACTTGTGACTGCTGATATCTCCGAACTTGCCCCTGACCTCTGACAATTGTTCAGCCCGTTAAGATTGATCCCGGCGATGGTGCCCACAAGCGAGGCTGGTGTTGCAGTGCTGAGCGACTCAACGCCCATCTCTGAATCGTCTTCGGGCAGCTCAATGGATCCACTCAGCACCCCACCCCCTCCGCTGGCTGCGCTGGCCTGACTGGCCGGCCGACCCAGACTTCCGTACGGCAGCCCCAGGAGGCCCTCTGAATCGTCAGCATTGCTGCACTCCAGCGAGGAATCCTCCACAGGCACCAGGGAAGGGCTGTTGCCTGTTGGCCACACCTGCACATCAGACATCTCCATGAGGGTGTCTTCTTCTGTGGTGGCAATAGGTGCACAGTCCAGACTGGAGACTTCCTGCCAGTAAGGCTCAGCGCCCAGCGGGGAGGGCAGGCTGTACTGCATGGAGGCCGGTGAGAGAAGCTCGTCCTGCACGAGCCCATAACCTGGAGCGAGACAGAGAGAGGCACACTGACACCCGGCCCCCCGCCTCGCTCCCCACCTCACCCCCACAGCACCGGGACCACGGGAGGGGGGTAAGCTCCCCTGCCCAGGAGCTGGGGAACTAGGGGGGAGTGGGGGAGTAGAGGTGGCTGAAGGGACAAATGGGAGAGAAGTGGGGAAGGAGAGAGGGGAGGGCCAAGACAATAGGAGCTAGAATAAAGGTGCAAGGAGCTTAGGACAAGAGGGCAAGGGCAGCTTTTAGAAGAGGGTTTGTCAAGCTCGACCAGCCAGCGCTGACTGTGAGAGCAGCAGCGGCAGCAGCAGCAGACACAGCCGGACGCACTGACTGACACTTTGTTTTGGACCTAGCAGTGGCTGATGCTGCTCTGCTGGCTGCCACCTGCAGGAAGCTGTCAGGAATCAATGCCTCTGCCCCAAACCCGGGGCGATGACACACACCTGTCCAGCAGGGACGCACACTTGACACACATACACATGCCATAAACACACTTGCTCACTCTCATACGATCACACTCATACTCAGATATGCATGCATTCAAACCCACTCGGAAAAACAGGCAGGTTAATATCATTGTCAGGCTGGATAGCATGCACGCAGGCAATCTCATTCTCTCCTCACACACACACACATCAGCTCACTCCACCCAGCTGCTTGCACTCATATTGACACATATTTATTATAATACATTCAATGTAACACAGCTATATAAACATATAACGTAAGGTACTGCTGATATATGCAAACACATACACTTGATTTTCCTTCTGATGTGAAAGTCACATGGTTGCTGCCTCAAACATTGATTTGAATGAGTATTTCAACTGCAATTATATCAATTAGAAAAACTGCACATCGATAATGGGCTTTGGACTCAGGTCACTCCTTCAACTGCCTTGAACACCCTTTGTGACAATATCTTTCTCTTTGTAAAAGCAGACCTGGCATGATAGAGCACAGTGTCCCAGCAGCAGGAATGTTTTTTTTTTATTGAGATAGTAACTTTACATTGCATATAAGGGAAGATAAATCCAGTTGAAAACTATGAAGAATGCACTATATACACAATATGCCTTATTTTATGCTAAATACATAACTTAAAAAATGTTGAATAGTTTAAGTAAATGATTAATGGGAATGTATGTTAACTAAAGTGTGAGTGGCACCATGACTAACACTACAGGATGTCTTACCAGGAAGTACATTAACCAGACGATGATATAGGAGATGTTGTGCAGGGCAGAGTATGTAGATAAGAGAGACAGAGAGAGATGTAGGGGGGTGTGTGTGTGTGTGTGTGTGTGTGTGTGTGTGTGTGTGTGTGTGTGTGTGTATTCTCATAGTGATGAGAAAGCTGTGCAGAGCTGTGGGGTGTAACTTGATTCATGGTTGGCAGTGTTTCTGTCGAGGACTGCTGAGTGTGCAGGAGATATTTGTGACACCAAGCGGCCAGAAGGACCTCTTGTCCTACTTTCAGCCCCTCTGTCAGTGTGTCTGTGGAAACTAGCATTCTTATATTTTACATTGTCCATTTTGTGCTTTGTTTATTAAGGTAAAACACAAAAATCTGCCGTAAAACAGCAATGACTCTGGATTCCTATGACATCCATTGCTGACAGAATATCTAATAATTGTAAAACCTGAACACAGAACAATGATAATGAGTAAATAGTTTAAGTTTGGAAATAATAATAGGACCGCAGGATCCTTGAAAGATTAGGGGGCCCTAATCACAAACGCTTGATTGCCCTTTGGCTACACCTTAAATGCTGCATTTAATAATAGTATTATACAGTAAGCTGCTGCAAATACGATTAGAGCTATATTAATATATTTCAAATCTAATTACAAAGAAGTGAAACCGATCTCCTATTTTCAAATACTTGAAGATGAACTTCAGTATAAATTGCTTGTATATCTGAGGAACATGACCGAGTCTATTTTAGAAGTAAGACTAACAACTGTACTAGTAAGTATTTTTCTATGAGGTGAAGGATCATGTGTGAATCAAAAAATATATTTCTTTTTAGTCTGTTTATAAAATAGAAAGACAGACTTTGATAATATATCAACATCTATGTTGTGTTAAGAGTGTGTTTGGGTGACACCACACAAACTACAACATGACATGTTGTCTGTTATGAATTAGATAATGAAAGAGTTTGTCAGTCCCCTCTCTCCATGTTAGAAGATGAGGCAATGATGGTGAAAGTAAAAAAATTAAGGGAGTGGGCAAGTGTGAAGTAGGAAAAATGATTGCCTGACCCCACTGATTACAATACACAAATACAGAAAAAAATAGCAGTGAAGCATTAAAGTACATGTAAAGGAAGTATACTTATTTTGTCCATATACCAAATACTGATACACTGGTCACATGTATATGGAGGACACAAAACAGTTACGGTAGCCTATATAACACAAAACACATATATAGACGCTCCACACTGATACATAGACTTATAGATGAGCTCACATTAAATAATAAGCACATTTACAATAAGGGAAGGGACAATATAAAATTGACCCTCGAACAACACCCACAAAGACATTTAAAACGTAACGTATATATTGCACAAAATAACTACCGTAATCAGATGGACACAGTTTACATTGAACCAGTGACATACAAAAACAACCACAACATTCATACATGAAGAGAGCAGACGCAAATTCAGAAAAAAAGGTTTGTGGCCTTTTTTACTCCCTATGGGACAGATCCCTGAGGAGGAAGAGACAGACTAGTCATTCTCATTATGCATGCCATGCAAAAACACATGTCTGTTGGTCAAGCAACATTAAAGGCCAATGCAGCATTTAAGTCGACATCTCCAACAAGCCAGTGTTACTCCTGCCCCTCATCCCAGTGTCTCATGCAAACACAAGGGGGATGAGCGATGAAAGTCGGCCTCATGCACATGCAGACAGGCAGGAGGACAGGGAAAGAAGGGATGGGAGAAGAGGGAAGGACAAAATAGAAAAGGGCAGCAAGAGAGGAATATAAAATAGGGGGATGATCACAGACAGAAACAGCGATAGAGAGCGAGGGTCACCTCCCCCCTCCCAGTGGGTGCTGAGTACAAAGTCTGTGTGAGGTGTATCGGTCACAGAGCGGACACTTAAAAAGGTGGGGTTTTCAAGAGCACAAAAATAAAGAAAATGCACGACTAGTCGCCAAAAAAAAAGGAAAAAGATAAAGATGTGGGTCAGAGGTCAACATGAGGTTGGCATGAGTTCAGAGTTCGGAGAGGAGTGAGAAGGAGGAAGAGTAGGGCGGCTAGGCTGCAGATGACATGTCCAGAGAAACACAGAGAGAGGGACAGATTCACAGGGAATGAAAACAGGGCTCCCAAAAGGACATTCAACATTAGCCCTAAAAAGACTCAAACTTCTCCACATGCAGCCACAGGCAGAGAGAATTTAGATGTCCTAAAACAAAGGTCTTAAAGAATAGGTCTTCCTGAATCATGATCTACTGTAGAAAGTGAAGTAGATTAGAATAAACCCTCACAATGTGCTTACCTACAAAAGAGGTGCACTAGAACTATGATGATACGGATAAGTCAAATCCTAAAGACATTGTTTTAAAAAAAGAGGGGAAGACAGGAAAAGTCAGAGAAAGATATGAAGGCTGCAGTATAAGTGACTTCTCTGGTCTACTCTAGCTTTTTCTGTTTAACTCCTAAAATAAAAAAACATCATAGAACTGAACCTGACTTTAAGTAGCAGTTCTACACTTTGGGGTATACAATAATGCGCTTTAGTTGCAAAAGGTTGTGAGAAGATCGATGCCGCTTTCATAATTATGGTCAACCCAGTCTCACGGCATTTCGTGTTATAGTCACGAAATGTATTTAATCTATTGATTCGTGTTCACCAACATGATTTTGCTTTCTTTCGTGTCACACAGAACGATTTTAAAAGCAATGTATTTCTATTGGTAGTATAGTTCGTGCCTGCACCACGTCTTTTTGTCCGGTCGGGTCTTGGAAGCTGTGTGGTTCATAAAAACATGTTCTTACTCAATATCTTACCCTAACCCTTTTATTTTAAATTGTATAATGTCAGTTTTTTTGCCGTGTCCGTGAGGAAAATAAATGGGGCTCAAACTCAGAATACTGAAATCTGTATTTAAAAAAAAAAGTTTCCTTCTAATTTGTTATTATTTGGTGCAGGCACGAAACCAAAAGTAGCTTTTAAAATCGTTCTGTGTCAGAATACAGAAATCTGTAGGCTATTTTTTTTATCTCTTTTTCCTTCAAATTTGTTATTATTTACATTGCTTTTAAAATCGTTCTGTGTGACACGAAAACAAATGTGAAAATCGTGTTGGTGAACACGAATCAATAGATTAATTTCGTGACGATAACACGAAATGCCGTGAGACTGTGTTGTTATGGTAACTATGAAGCTACTGCTAGCTGCGGTTAGCTTAGCTTAGCACAAAGACTATAGGAAAACAGCTAGATTGGCTCTGTCTAAAGATCAAACATCCACCTACCAGCACTTCTAAAAGTCAACTAAAGCTTTACCTTTTTGCTACACAAACTCAGCTAGCGTGGACGAGACACAATAACGGTCTTAATCTCTTTTCAGTCTTTATGCTAAGCTAAACTAACCAGAGGCTAGCAGAAGTAGCTTCATATTTACCACACAGATTATGACAGTGGTATGGATCTTTTTCATCTAGAACATTTGCAAATTTCCCAAAATGTAAAACGTTTTTTTTATCTGAACTGAACAAAAATAATTTGTTAAATAAATTAAGGAATGAAACATTAATGCAAAAATGAGAATTCAAATCTAATCACAAGGAAGTTGAAAAATCCCACAATATTTATTCTAAAGACGTGGCCTTTAGGTAATTTGCAATTCCTTCGAGCATTTATAGACTTAGTTTTTCCTTTCTTGGTTTGATTGATTTATTCATTTAATTATTTCTTAATTAAACTTGATGAATTTCTT